TATTAGAATTTAAAGATTAACGTATTTCAACTAAATATGTAGAATAAGGCAGGCTAAGGCATACATTAGTGAAGTCAGCACAGTAGACTCTTCACTTTCTGAGGCTATTAAGTGTAATGGGAAGAAAAAGCAGAAGTGGAAAATGTGTAATTCTGTTACCCTAAAATAATTTTGCATCGTTCGTGATTCTAGAGTCTTTCTGTCAAAATCTTCAAAATAAAATTTTGAGCTATAAGGAAGATTTATATAGAGTCCAGAGAAAAAAAGAAGTAATTAAAAAAAAAAAAAAGAAAAAAAAACCCTAAAAGTTGCATTTAAGGGCTAATTTTAGGTTTTCTTTCCTGGAAAGATACTCTGAACACTGACTTTTCTCTTAAAAGGAATCAAACCACTAGGAATGGGGCTTGGAGGAAGAGTCGGGAGGATGGCAGGGAAATCCAAAAACCTCTTACAGTCACTTTCTTGTATCTTATTCTTTGTGACCATACTGCATGTGTACGCTTTCCTTAACGTATCGGATCCAGCAGGGTCCAACACCAGCAACAGTAAGGTCCACGCAGGACACTCAGGACATCTTTCATTTTCCCTGTGCTGTGGGGGCTACACAACCTCCTGTGTGTGCCCATCAGCACTTGTCTCCTATGGACAAAAGCAAGAGCTGCCACCTTTTTAACTGCAACAGGATCTACAAAAACAATTTATCTTCTCAGCAGTGTTTGCTGATCAAAACTTTTCCCTGGTCCTGCTGAGTCAAATGTGTTGGGACTGAAAGCATTTTGTGGGTCTGAATTACACCTATGGGCTATCTGTTGGATGACCCTAAAAAAATCCGTGCAGATAACATTTTTTTGAGGACATAGCTCAGACATTCTCTCTATAAAGAAAGAAGTTGGGAATCGACACTAGATGATCCTTAAGGTCCCTTCCAACTCAAAGCCATTCTATGATTCTGGGATAAGTAACCATGGAAGCTGTGTCAGGGGAGGTTGAGTATTAGAAAAAAGTTCTTCACTAATGGATGGCTGGGCACTGGAACACTGGAAAAGGCTCCTCACGGCAGTGGGCACAATTGCATGCCTGCTGCAGTTCAGAAACACTGAACAGCAGTTAGGACAGCACTCTCAAACACTGGCTTTGAAATTGAATGGTCCTGTCTTAGACTTGGAGTTGATAATTTTTGTGGGTTGCTTGGGATATTCTATTGTTCTATGAAATGCCAGGCTTGGAAAGATTTGTTTTGGGTTATTTCAAAAGTCTGTCAAGATCAAATGTAGGGAAGTGTATATGATGGGACAAACATATGTAACTTTTCAGAACAGTCCCATGCCATATCATGTAGGTTTTGGGGACTTGCCAACACAAAAGACAGTTATCATATGATTTTGTGAAAAAATAAAAAAAAAACTAATGCATTTAAATGTATATTAATGTATATTAATGCTAATGCATTTTTATGTTGAACTTTCCTCTTATAACTGTTTGATCTGTTGTGTCAGAAGTAGCAGAGGAAGAACTGATCACTGTTCATTCTCTCTGTGCTGTTTGTGTTTATAACTTTCTTAAAAACTTCCTGTGTTTGTCTGTTTCTGTCAGGGAAGAATCCCCGTCTAGTTGTTCTTCGAGTGGAATTAATCTCTCATTAATCATTATTAATTTGGCAGAAGGGGAAAGGGATTTGCACAAATGGAAGAATAAAAGCCAAGAGAGTTTATAATAATATATACCCAGTTCTGGCTGGGAGCAGCAGAACTGCACATAGTGTGTGTGTGCTTCACCTGTTACAGAGTCTTCTGGTCTTCCTTACACCTTTGCTCAGCCCCATACTTTTGTATGTACTGTCATCAGTAACTGCGGTAATTTCATGAATCCCACCTTTTTCTAGGTGAGGTATGGATATGCTGAGGAATACAGAACCCAACCTGGAACTTGCAGGTCACCGAGTTCCATTTTTCTGTTTCTTTCAAGTTTTTTAACAGTTTCTTTTTAAGATGATGTTCTTGTTCATCTCACAGCGGTGTCATTTTTTTTTAAAGACCTTTTGGTCAAAAGTCTTTGGAAATCAAACAGATGACATGAGTTGACCCCTGTCTACTCAAAAGACCTTCAAAGAATTCCAGTAGGTTACTGAGTTATGAATCCCCTTTTTGTCAAAGAGGCTCTTTTCCAGTATGTATTAAATGTATTTGCCTTGCATATTTAGAAACCCTCCTCGATATTTTTTTTCTGTCTTGCTATACTGCCTTCTTTTTAATAGGAGTCAAAAAGCTATTTTTAATTTGTTAGCTGATTACATTGATGTACTGAATTGTCCTGTTAGTAGCAGTGTGTGGTGTTTGCACAACAGAGGTTTGGACTTTGCATGTGTTAGATTGCAGGCATGATAGTGCTTATGCAACAGTATGTGAGAAAACTGGAAATGTTTTTTTTCCCATTGTGTTTTGTATAGTAGAAGATACCTGAAAGATGGCCCCTGCATCGAATTCAGTGTAGTGTAAGTAGTTCACCTGCAGTCTGTATGCACATAAGTCTCTCAGCTTTCTTTTTAAGTTTCTTCAAGCAAAGTGTGAGGTATGGAAGTACACCATGATGCTACGTGCATTCAGTTCACAGAATGGATTCAAAGCCCAGTTTATCAGACAGAGTAAGATTTTGTTTTTTGTTTTCATTAGAACTGTGGGTACTAGCATTTTAGGTTTTGAGAGAGAAAATCTCAAGCGTTCTGCAGAAACCTGATCTTCTGTGTGGTCCACTCCAGCATACTGCGTGGGGATAGCTTTCTCTTATGAAAATCAGTCAGAGCTGCTTCCAACTTGCTTTTAAAGATTACTGGGGAGACATGAGTAGACTATGCAAGTATAGCATAAGGCCTAGGGGTTTGTGCCATGTGTAACTTGCTATGTATACCTGTGAATTTTTACTTCAGGTCTGCATCTTTCTTTAATTGATACAAAGAACCTTTTCCAGTTACTTTACAGTTGTTGGTGATATTCCTACCAGAGAAACGAGTAAGCATTTGTTGAGAGATGCTAAGACTATAAAAGTAGAATAGAGAAAAATATATTTCTCAATAAGGATGCTAAAATGTTCATGTAACATTTCCATCTTTTTTTATTTCAGTTGATCTGAAGAGCTAACGGTGTACAGAAAGATGAGCAATGTAGGATTTGCTATGATCTGAGTTGCAAATAATCTTTTTTCTGAAAGATGCAGTGACAAAACTAAGTTTTTGTGTTGAAAGATTGTCCAACATCTTCTATTCCATCAGACACTGTTTAAGAGTAAGTTTCTTGTTAACAGTTATGGAACTTTAGATTAGGAAATACAAAATATGCTGTCCTCTTGCCATTGTGGGATCTGTCTGTCCCAAACTCTGTCATGACACAGAGCCAAGTACTTTGCCAAGGAAAATCACTCAAGAATTCAAGGCAAATATTCACCATTCCAGACGCTGTCAAGAGCCAAACTAATGAAAGGATTGAGAAGTGAAGTGTAATCATGACTTCAAAAGTGTTTGTCCAGCAGGAAAAAGTCATTACTTAAATTCTGTGGCTGTGATCCCATTCCTTATTTTCAATTGAAATAATGCTGTGATTTAACTCTGAGTGATATAGCTGTACTTTGTACTTTCTTGGACTTCTCTTTTTTTTTTTTTTTTTTTTTTTTTTTTCTCCTGTTCTTTTTTCTGTCTGGGGTTAATCAGTCCTCTGCTGACTTTGCTTTATTTTGTTCTTTCTTTACTCTAAAATAAAAAAGAAAAAAAAATACTTCTTGCTTAAATCTGAAACAGTAGAGATATATTTAAAACACAAGCAAAGAACTTAGAAAAATTTTGTCTATTTAATTTGCATCTTAAAATCCATTCAGATTACACAGACCAACTGCAGTGCACCCAAATTGTATTACTTGTTGCTGAAATCACACTGTACTGTTTCTGAAATGCTTTTTAACTTAAGTAGGTCTTTGTTTACAGGGAAAAAAAAAAAAGAAAGGATAAAGATGTGCCATTGAAGGCCTAGATATGTGTTTAAAAACCATTTGGATGTGGTGCTTAGGGACGTGATATAGCAGAGGGTTGTTAGGGTAGTATGGTTAGGTTGCAGTTGGACTTGATGATCTTCAAGTTTTTTTCCAACCCGAGCAATTCTATGGTTCCATGATTGAACATGGGGCTTGGTTGTTATAAAGATTTACTTAAATCATGCCTGTCTGTTCCCATTTATATATGTTTGGTAGCACTCACAGGGAAATGCCAGCATATGGCATACTGTTCATGTATTAAATAATTGTTCCTGAGGCAAACTGTCAGTTTTTATATTGCATTAATGGAACGTGCCTTTTTTTATTACTTAAACAAGACCACGAGGTGGCGTTAAAACACCTGTGAGTGCTGATTGAGGTCACCTGATGAATACGGTCTCCAGGTTCACAGTGCTTCCGGCATTCAGTGCTTCTTGCAGTCTGCGAGGGAAGGAAGTAGTGTTTTACTAAAATCTGCTATTTCAAGAGTTTGAAAGAACAGAATGGTCCTGTTGCTGCGCTCATTTTTAAATTAGGTGCTCTTGCAATGCTACATCAAGTAAATTACAAGTTGAAAGATATATTCATTGTATTTTACATGATGATGTTGTGTGTGGTGGTTTTGTTTTGTTTGTGCAACAAACCCACACATTTCGATACAATTTTAAGCTGAGAGCCATTTTTTTTTTTTAACTTACAGAAGCGCACAAAGAGTGTAACATCCCATTTGGTTTTAAATTCATATGTATAAATCTGTGGGAATATATATTCAGTGCTAACCCATCTGAATTAATGTATCTCTGCCTCTTTCTTTGCCTCTTCTATTCTTATTTTAATCTCCTTTCTTGGCTTCCACTTTACCCCCAAAACTGTTATCCCAGATCTTCCATAAGGAGTGAATATATGATGGCTGCTCCAAAAGTAATGGCTCCTGTTTTATTCTATTTTGCCATAACATCAGAGGTGGATGTTGATGATACGGTAGCAGAGGTTGAACCTTCCCACCAATATCATGCTGCATGTTGTTGCTGTGACAGATGGCAGCAGAGGGTCAGTCTGAGAGAATGGCGTCTGACGTGGAAGGGCACATGGAGCAAAGGTGTGTCATTGAGTTCCTCCATGTGAAGAAAATGGTGCCCATTGGCATTCAGTGACACTTGCTGAATGTTTGTGAAGACCAAACAGTGGACATGCACACAGTGAGGCGGTGGGTGGTGCGTTTCAGCAGTGGTGACAGTGACAGTGGGTCACCTCCCCTGGTGCAGATTTTTGTGAGCACAACATGCAGACTGTTGTTCATTGCTGGTGAAAATGCATAGCTCATGGTGGTGACTGTGTTGAAAAACATGTTTTGTAGCTGAGAATTTTCTCTGTCAAACAGTGTTCTTGTGCTCTTTGTATCTGTTGTACTTTGCACGAAAATAAATAGCAGGCATTACTTTCAGAGCAATCTACGTAGTTTTCCACAAAGCTGATACAGTCAGATTTTTGCATGTCTTGGACAGAATCATAGAGGGCTTGGAACTTAATTTGTGAGGTCCCTTCCAACCCAAGCAATTCCATGATTCCGTCCATTTGCAGTTGTGGTTAAATGAGACTGCAAACTTGAATCTGTTATAAAGTGATCATCAGTAGTAGTATCACGGTTGCAGGTTTTTATGTTTGCATTTTCTAAAGCTGGTGCTACCCTTTGCTACTTCTGCTTCACAGTCTGAGGCTTTTTTGTTAAACAGTGTATTGTTACAAAGGGTTGTTTGGCATCTTCCAAATGTGGAAAATTGTTTTTAAACGAAAGAAGGCTTACATAAATTATTAGTATGTTTTAAGTATTTACTGCACAAGTTAAAAATCAGCCCATAAACTTAATTGCTTTGCTCATCTTTGCAGCAGTTATGTTGGCTGCTATATTGCTGTAGTAGAGTATAATAAAAGTTGTCCTCCTTTCTAAAATCAAATTGTGTTCATATTTTCCAGAAGCAGCAAGTAATCAAATTTTAGATTTGTTAGCAAAATAAATTACCTGATGTTGTAGCAAAAATAGCAGTGATTGCAGTCTGCAACTTAGAAGCTTTGTTTTCTTTTTAAAAATCCTGTTTTTAGAAGTCACTATAAGCTTTTACAGCTTACACTGCTTTTGTTAGAAATGGTCATTAATGACAGCAGTCATCTAGAGGCTTTTTTTGCACAACTAAACTCATGCATCATATGTATTTTCAGGCAGTGGTGCAAGCTTAGATGGCTTTTGGTAATCTTCTCATCCATTTTTTATGCTAGCATAACTGTTTTGAAGCTACACATTATGGATAAACAGAAAAAAAGCTTGGCCTGGTCCATTTTTTTGTCGTTTTGTGGATGGCACTAACAGGTATGGTACAGTCATCATACTGGAGTGAAGGGATTCCATCCAGAGGGTCCTGGATGTGCTTGAAAGGGGCCACGCAAAACTCATGGCATTCAGCAAGGCCAAGTGCAGTCCTGCACTTGGGTCAGTGCAATCCAAAGCACAGGCATAGGCTGGGGGGAGAATGGCTTGAGTAAGTCTATCGAGAAGGACTTCAGGGTGTTGGCTGATGAAGAATTGAGCATGGGACATTAGTGTGTGCTTGCAGCCTGGAAAGCTATATGTACTCTGGGCAGCATCAAAAGAGGAGTGGCCAGCAGTGTGAGGGAGGGGATTGTCCCCCTCTGTTCTGCCCTGGTGAGGCCCCACCCACAGTAATGCATCCAGACCTGGGGCCCCCAGCGTAAAAAAGATGAGGAGCTGTTGGAGTGGGTCCAGAGAAGGGCCATAAAGGTGATCAGAAAGCTGGTGCAGCTCTCTATAAAGGCAGGCTCTCTGTGAGCTGGGCTTACACAGCATGGAGAACAGAAGGCACCTCATTGCGGCCTTCCTGTACTTAAGAGGGCCTTATGTGAGAAGTGAGAAGGACTCTGTCAGGGACTGTGGTGGCAGGGCAAGGTGTACAAGTTCTAAATATAGACTTTGTTTAAATTAGATGTAAGGAATGGTGGTGAGTTATTGGCAAATGTTGCCCTGCCCCTGGAAGAGTTCAGAGCCACGCTGAGTGGGGCTTTGAGCAACTTGTCACTGCCTACAGCAGGGGAGTTGGAAATAGGTGATATTAAAGGTGTCTTCCAACAAAAGCCATTCTATAATTCATTTTTTCACCTGTATGTTATCTTGTCCCTTTTTGAAGTATGATCCTGCTGGTAGTTATGCTGTCATCACAGATGGAGTCATGTGCAGGGCAGAAATAAGCGGCAGAGGATGGAGTGGGAAGGAAGAGGAATATCTTAATGCTGAATGTGGACCTTATCCGCAACCCATGCCTGTTCAGATATGTCAACAGTTCCGCATTGCACTGCAGACAATTAAATGTAATGTCTGAAAGATTGAACTGGTCAGTTCACGCACTGGCAGTAGCATATCTGTGGCCACATGGGATAATTGCAGTATGCACGCAATTTTCTTAACAGACCTACATTTGTTTATTATTCTACTTAATTTAAACTGAATCATTTTCTTATTGCATAGTTAGAGTAATGGCCGGCTCCTCTATAATGCTGCTGCCATTTACCAAAAACAATCCTTTTATATAATAACTGCAGCATGTTGCTTCATTTACTTTTTGAAGAACAGTGCTTGCTACTTCATCTAGTTCCTACTATTATTAATATGATTTATTTAATTTCTTTTCCAGTTTGTATCTCGGAAGTAAAGGTTTCTCTCAGTGGCACAATTTACAGTCACATTCTAATAACATGACAAATAAAGCTGCAGTCTTTGAAACTTTATTATTTTAGCAATGTTCTCCTTTCTTGTCTTTTTATATTCTGTTTAATCTTTAATTTTACATTGCTATCGTTTCTATGCTTCTCTCTTGAACAAATAAGACATTCTCAATTTTATTGTGTGATATTTGAAGTTTTGGGCATTTGGTTACAATTTTAAGTAAACAACAAGTATGAAATACTAATCCACTTAAAGAAACAGCTGGAATAAGATTTCATCTGTGCACATAATTCAGTTGCATGTGGCTTTTCATTATTCTGATGTGAGTCACATTGGCCCAAAGTACGGCTGGCAGCAAGGTAACAGTATGTGTTTTAAAATGTCAGTTTGAGTTGTGTTTAATGGTTGCATATAGTGATTGTTTTTACTTGAAATGTTGTTATATCATTTTTGAAAGCCCACACTGGTTTAGTGAAGGACTTCTGAGAACTGGCTTTGTTCTACATGAATGCCTGCTTTGCATCAGGAGGAGGCAAAGTATCAGCACTGCAAAACAAAGCCAGTTTTCTGTGTCTACTTGTCTCTAGCGGGTATGGGCAATCACTTGATGGCATTTATGCCAATCATTTATGAAGCTATTGATTTTTATGTGTTCCACCATGCAATTATCTGGTCTACAAAGAAAAATCAGGTGGTTTAATCTTTTTTTCTGTGCTTAAAAGAAGTGCTTGCAGCAATTAGGGACTCTTTATTAATTAAATTTGCCCAGCTTTATTAATTGAGCTTGTTTGACAGGCTGAAATTAAATGTTGCCATGATTATTTAATCATTGTTTCTGGGACTATGTTGTTGGACAGTAGCTATTTTCTCTATGTGAAAGTAATGAATTACAGAAAGCTGTAGGTTCCCTTCAAGAATAATATCAGCCTTCTATCCTTCACCTTTGCATAGCCATCAACTTTTATTTTTTTCAGGTTGTTGTTTTCTTTTGATTCTGCTTCATTTCTATTTTGACTTTAATTTGGCACATTTATATTCCTTCTGACAACCTTTGGAGGGTGAAAAGGGCAAGTTCAGAAACTGCTTTGAGGAGGTTCCCCTTCAGCATCCATGAGGCTGTGTCAGAGGTGCAGTGTGTTGAAGACTGACATACCACAGTCCAGTGGGAAGCAGACTTAATGAAGTGCTGTTCTGTAATAGATTCAGGGTAGAATTCAGTAGTTCTGGATTCTCGGAAACTATTTCATTCTGAGATTGCTAACACTTGTCCTTTTGTTTTCATGAAAGTAGCTTCATTTATTAGAAACTTCTAGATGAGATTCCAGCTTGCAGTAGTCCAACAGAGAAGCTGGTGACACATTAATGTCAGATCTGAGTTTGTACTGGAGAGAGAGAGCAGAGATGGAAGGAATGCTTTTTATTCAGGCTTTGTTTTCAGAGTTTGGTAGTTAATATTACAGAGGGTTATATTTCTGTATGCCAGTAGAAGTTAAAAGGAAACATCTTGTCTACACTGGTATGGGAGGATTTGAAGAAACGATAATAACAAGGGGAAAAAAATCTTAGCATAAAATGTAGATTAGGGACGTTGCCTTTCGTTTATGTCCTATATAAATAACTTTGACTAGGCCATATCTAGAAAAGATACCTCTTTTAGGCCAGTGAGATCTTTTATTTGAAATCTTTCCTTCGAACAGAAGCTCTGCTTGTGGCTCTTCTTGGGTTGCTAGCACTTTGCTGATCTGCTTTGCTTTTCCTTCAGGCCACTATTGCCTATCCTTTTATGTAAGCTCTCTGTAAGCACTATTATGCCAAAACTTTGTAAGTACACAACCAGACTTGTGCTACAAAATTAGGGCAGGCAATTGACTGATGCTAACAGAAAAACAGTGTAAAAAAAAACCAACAACAACAAACAGCAACAACAAAAACATCCTTTCTAGTAATGAGCAATCTGTGTGTTCTTACATTTCTTTACTTATGTTTGAAAGTCAAAAGTTGTCATTATTACCGTAACAATATATTATTTTGGTTTTCAAATTATGTGAATGAAATTGGAAGGCAGATAATAAGCCTCTGCCATCCAGAGCTGTACTTACTAACTCAGAAATCTGGTCCTTGTTACTTTTCTGAAGGTATGGGTTGGTCTCTTAAGATACTAAAATCTGTGGCATTCTACTTCATGAATGCAAGCCGTCTTTTAAGTACTATCAATTTGTTATGTCTTTCAGCAAATAATTTATATATAAGTGAGATATTACTCAGTGATATGTTTTTGACTGTGGGTTTTTGCTAGCCCAGTTTCAGTCAGCTGCCCAAACCTGCCTACTTCTCCTTTATACAGCAAAGCTGATTGTTGCTTTTTTGAGTCCAGGGAGGTGGGAGTGTGGAAGCCAGTATTTCCAAAGCCAGTCTATTTTTAACTTTTATTTGGATGCATTGATTTAAGATATATCTTTTTAGTGTTATCACAAAAATTATTAAAAAGTCAGCCAGTAATTGCACTGCACAGCTATGATCATCTACATATGTGAATTGTTCTGCTAACTAATGCTGAATTATATGTGATGTATACAAATCAGGATTGATAGTATGTAAATTGCAGTTAGCTTGCATCTTCTTCTGGCATTGGAATAGAGCAACATCTATAGGAACTACAAAAATTACAAGCAAATATTCAACAAAGTAACAACTAGAAGTTTTCTTCCTATGAGTGTTTACGTGGCAGGCATGTATACAAACATGAAATTGTTATAGTGAACACAACCAGACATGGTTGGTTTTTTTATCTTATTGTATGAATATTTGTAGCTCTCATCCATCATAATCTGCAAATCACTGTAGATTTTATTCCTAGTTTCAAAAATGCAAATATTGTCTGTAAAGTTTCAGTAACTGAAATTCTGTTTTTCTTAGAAGATTAAATAGTAAATCAGTGTATTTTTTTCAAAGTTTTTTGCCTCTGTCTCATATTTGGCAGTGTATGGAAAATGGTGTAAGACAAACCTCTGACTTACCTAAAGTTAATTTTAAATAATAATAGTTGTGAATGCTCCTGATGGACAAGTAACATATGATTTTAAGTAGAACTCTGTGTAAAAATACTTTGTGGTTGCTAAAGGTCTGCTGCGTATTTAATATTTACTATAAACTTTCTCATGAACTGGAGTTTTTCTGCAAAGATCTTTTTTTCTTCTTTCAGGTCCATTGGGCCTCGGCTTTTGTTGAGAATGACATTAGGAGCAGAAATCACTAACCAGCTCAAGGCTTCTTCATACATAGCATCAGGTCGAAACCTTTTGAGATGGGACCTGTCACCAGAGCAAATTAGAACAAGAACAGAAGAACTAATCAGGAAGACAAAACATGTATATGATGTTGTTGGGAAGCTTAATATTGAAGAAGTGACACATGAAAATACTGTACGGGCTTTGGCAGATATAGAAGTGGAATATGCAGGTTAGTTATGCTTTCTGTGATTTTTTTTTTCCCCATAGTGCATTTTCAAGCCTGATAAGCAGTGCCTATCTCAGTTGCTGTAGAATCTGGCTGAGATGAGCAACTCAAATGTAACAGTGGAAAGACTGATAAACTCTTATTGGAGAAATGGTAGTGGATGAGAATGGAGGAATTTTGTGAATCCTTTTTCAATAAAAGAATACTTTACCTACACACTTTTACATTATGTCCTATGAGGACTTGAAGCAGTACAGGAGAGGTATTGGTCTTGTGACATCTAGACTGTTCTGAACAAATTACCAAGACCTTCCCATATACGGATGCAGTGTATGGTCAAACACAAGTCATTCAGTTAACTTGATAATAATTCTCAGAGGAGATGGGAACAATAAAAATATGTGGTGGCTTTGTTTTGGAAAACCTGTAATACAGTGGTTGCATGTTTGTAGTAGTCCATGTAACAAAGTATCAAATTCTCTTAAATTCTCTGAAAAAAACCTGCAATTGCAAGAGAAGGCACTCCAGCACGGAGCTCAATCTTCATCTAGTAGAAAAGAACAGCCTGTAGCACAAATGATTGTGTTATAATATTAGTCTATTGCTTTCACATTACTTAACTTCACAGTTCGGTTACATCCAGTGAATTGACTGGAATTGATGCTGGCAGATAGACTGACCATTCTTCATCCAAACAGATTGCGGACAGACAAAGTTTTAATTGTATAAATGTATTTGGTATAAATATTTTAAGTCATTCTGCCTATGTATAAACCTCCTTTAAATTAAATTAGAAGGCAAATCTGTTTTATTCAGGATAAAGTATTTATTCAGATGAAGTATTATTTAGTAAGTAAGGTTTTACTTAATCTCAAAAGAATATTCTAAAAATATCAGTAGTTTACAATCTCTAGAAGTTCAGAATACATAACATCTTTTTGTTACCAGATTGTTTTCCCTTAAACATGTAGATGAAGATGGTGATTTGACACTCTACTCTTGTACCAATTAAAAAATAAGTTCAGGACAGATGGGCATGTTTGAAAGATTCAGAGTACTTCACTTTAAAAACTAGTATAGAAGCCTCTTTGCCTGCTATGAAACATTGTCAGTCCTTACTTGGAAATGTTATATCTTCCAAAAATCATGTATCCTATTTATACAACCTTCAGTTGACTTCACAGAAGTACAAAGGTGGTAATCAGTCGTAGGTAATGGATTATTTTTGTAAAATGTTTATTTGTTACAACGTTATGCAATTCTGTCCCATGACATTCAATTTTATGTTTTCAACTCATGTCCTTCAAGCCTAATTTAAGCATCTGGTTGCTTTGGATACTTGGTTTTTTTTTTTATCTTCTATAAATATCAGAAGAGGGGAGGGAAGGTTTCTTTGTCCATGATGTTTCTAGCCTTCTAAGTGTTCACTGCCTTTTATTTAAACAGTGGAAAGAAGCATGTTGGATTTTCCCCAGCATGTCTCACCTGACAAAGAGGTACGCTTAGCAAGTACAGAAGCTGACAAAAAGCTTTCCAATTTTGATGTGGAGATGAGCATGAGAGAAGATGTGTTTCAGAAGATTGTTTATTTGCAGGTAAAATTACAATAAAGAAGTATATACGCACAGAGCTTTTCAAGATCCCTGTCACTCCTTAAATTAACCTTGTATTCTTCATCTGCACTGTTTACTTTGTGGTTCATATTTTATTAAAACAGGAAATTTTTATGTTTATTCAAATCTATCTAGTAACATTTAATATTAATATCCAGACGTAATTTAGAGATAATGCAGGAAGCCATCAAATGTGAACCAAAAAAATATGTACATTTGTCCATGGTCCAAGTGTGAATCTTCCCTTTCAATCCTACCAATTTAAGAACTGTTAGTGATGCTAATAATATGTAGGTTGCTCCAAACATAATGCCTACTATTTAATTCCTTGAAAGTTACAACAGGTATGAAGCGCACAATAGCACTATTTGACAGACCAAATTTTCAGCTACAAAACACTCTTCTTCAACATAGTCACCACCATGAGCTATGCATTTTCACCGGTGATGAGCAAAAGCCTTCATACTGCACTCATAAAAATCTGTGCCAGTGTAAGTAGCTCACTGTCACCAGTGCTGAAGTGCACCACCCACTGCCACACTGTGCTCACATCCACTGTTTGGTCTCCATAAGTGTTCCCTAAGTGTCAGTGAATGTCAGTGGGTGCCAGTTTTTCTGCATGGAGAAATTCAGTGACACAGCTTTGCTTCATCTGCACTTCATTGATGAAATGCCTTCTGCTACCATCTGTCACACGACAACAAAATGTAACATAATATTGATGGGAAGATTCAACTTCTACTACCATAGCACGAACACCCACCTCTGACATCATGGCTAACAGAATAAAGCAGAAGACATTACTTTTGGAGCAGGTCTCGTACATTGGAGCCCTATTTCTTGATGTAATTATTTGTACTTTTTGCAGTGTTGAAATGGAAATATGAGTAATATTAGCAATGCCATAGTAAAGTACATTTCAGTAGCACTGTTTTCTGTTTCTGTATTTTCAAGACATATGTTCTAGTGTTTTCTTCTAACTGGATATTGTTATATACATGTTTGTGTAGGTGTTTCATAGCATCATTTTGAGTATTTTCTGGTATGTTTTGACAGACAGTGCCTTATATTGAGGTGTCAGTTACTGGAATCAGTTGCTATTAATTAAATGCTTGATATATTTTATTTTCTGCAATTTTCTCACCCTTCTGTAGTATACACAGATAGATCTAGGGCTAACCTGACATACTTGTGTATTCGTCTGTTTTTAATTTACAGGTATTTCTGTTAGTAGCTAGTGAAACTGATTGCTATTATTAACTCTTCACTACTTTCAGTTCAACTTCTTCGTAAGATCATTTTCATGTAATGCTTTCTTTGTTTTCCTTTCAGCAATATTTGACTTATGTAATAGTTACAATTTCTGTTTAATCTCCCATTAGAGTTTCTTAGATTGCACTTGGCTTAACTGCAGCATGCAAGAATCCTTAGTGTTCAGTTAGTGCTCTAGGGTAGTTACCTGCACTAAGATCTCAGCGTGTATCAACTTCATAACAACCATGAAAGTAGTAATAATACCTTTTTTCTTCAGAACAGTTGTGAAATTGTCAACAGTGGCAGACTGATAGTTTTGTTATTTCCAAATAACAGTACAAAGTCCTTGTTAATTTCTATTAAACCTCTAACGCTTTATCCTGTTGGAATCTCTTAATTAAGAATTCAAGTTCCAGGTCAAAAATAGATTTCAACAAACAGAAATGTTTTCCTGCAATCTTTTCATCAGTTTAAAGAAGCTAGTAAAACACTTTGGCTAAATCAGGCTTTTCATCACCTCTGTGTTCTGTTATAGTTCTGATATGATAATTCAGTTTCATGATCCTATTCAGGGGACAGTTTAAATGCAATGAAGAAAATGAGGCCCAAGCACTTGCACGTTATTTATAATATAGTTGCTCCACTAAAAGGTGACTAAATATGCCACACTTAATTGACATTTGAGCAAGGACTAAACTTCCATTGGTTCAACTTTATTTAGGAACTTTGATGGTGGAAGATCTGTAAAGTTTTGTATTTAACTTTAAAAAGTGAAAAAAATGTAGCCTTTTTCATTTCTGCATACATAAGGGGGAAAATTCTTCATAGGTTTATGTTGTCAAATATGCCCTGGAATTTACTCTTTAGAAAACTTTTATTTTGGCATCTGAAACCTGGAATAAAAGTGAATTTGGTGGGGAAGCTATCATTTAAAATTTTCTTACTCTTAACATCTGCACATGTTGGCTAGCACAGGCATGCTTAAGAATGTTGCCAGTCTGCTCCACCCACACATACTGAGGAATCTCAGCTTGTTGTAAACAGCTGCTACAGTTTTTGCTCATAATATTCTAATTCTGTTTATAATATTCATTCTATTCCTTATTTTGCTTATTTCTCATAGAATAAGGTAGCATGGTTGTTCAAAACAAATTTGAGTGGTGTATAAAATTAACAACAATGACCACTTAAAAACTTCTGGGAAATTCCAAAATTTCATGGTGTAGTATGTTCAAAATTAGCACTTCTGCTGTGAAGGTTGTTCGGTGAACTGCACAGAGCATCCTGACCAGATGGAATTACAGAGATGACTGCAGAGAACGCTTGGCTCCTTGGTGCTCACGGTGGCTTGTCCTTAAAGACCTGACAGGTCTTTCTGAATGTGTACTGTCCTTGACTTAAGCACATCTGTGATGTAGGTAAATTACTCAAAGGCTACCGTAAATACTGGAAGCTATTTAACACTGATATCTTGAAAGTGTATGGAGGGGTATGTAGTCATGTAGTCACCAAGAGAAGGATGTAGAGCTCTCATTTAATTTTCACTCCCTTTTTACCAAAATAATATCTTCCTCGTATTTAGCTTTATGTAGAAGGCACAAATATTCTCTTAAGGATATAAAACTAGTATTTGTGAGTTCTCTCTTTCTTCCTTAAATCTCTGCTGCGTTTGGGCCCAAGAGATTCTCAGTAGTGTGGCAGTTCCACTTTTCAAATGTGCATGATATTGAGGCTGGGAAATCCTTCACAAGGCCTTATTAACTCTGAAACTTTTCAGAATCCTCTGTCCTTAACTGTTGCTACAGGAGTTCATTTTTACAGAGAGTAGCCTGCTCCACTTTCTTTTTAATCATTCTATTTCTGAGCCTTCAGCACAGTAAGCAGAATATAAACATTATTGAACTGACTGTGTCTGTATATTTCACCTCTATCACGGTGAAGTTGTACTTTTTCTGTCACACTAGTCTTAGCTGAAAAAGTCAGGTAAAGGCCTACGTGACAAAAAAGGCAAAATTGCTCCCATTTTTTAAGAAGGGTAAAAATGATGACCCTGGGAGCTGTCAGTCTCACTTCCTTGTAGGGAAAGATCGTGGAGCAGATCCTCCTGGAGGTTATGCTAAGGCACATGGAAGAGAGGGGGTTGACAATGGAGAATGAGCATGGCTGAACCAAGAACAAATATGCCACCAATCTACTGGCCTTCCATAATAGTGTATAGAATCATAGAATCACAAGGTTGGACACAACCTATAAGATCATCTAGTCCAACCGTCTTCTCATTACCATTGCTACCACAAGCAACTGAAACAGATCTCGCAGCTCCTCGTCCAGATGCCTCTTGAACACTGCCAGGGACGGTGACTCCACCACCTCACTGTGCAGCCATTCCAGTGCCTGACCACTCTCTGAGAGAAAAGTTTTTCCTCATGTCTAACCTAAAACTCCTCTGATACAACTTGTGGCCATTTCCCCGGGTCCTGTTCATTGCCTGGGAGAAGAGGCCAAACCCCTCTTCACCACAACCTCCCTTCAGGAAGTTGTAGAGTGCAGTGAGGTCTCCTCTGAGCCTCTTCTTCTGCAGACTAAACAATCCCAGCTCCCTCAGCCACTCCTCATAGAACTTGTGCTCCAGACCCCTCACCAGTTTCGTTGCCCTTCTCTGGACAAGTTCCAGGGCCTCAATGTCTTTCCTGTAGTGAGGGGCCCACAACTGATCACAGTATTTGAGGTGCAGCCTCACCAGTGCTGAGTACAGGGGGATGATCACCTCCCTGCTCCTGCTGGCCACACTATTTCTAATGCAGGCCAGGATGCCGTCAGCCCTCTTGGCCTCGGCACACTTTGGGCTCATGTTCAGCCGAGCATCAACCAACACCCCCAGGTCCCTTTCTTCTTCACAGTCATCCAGCCACTCAGCCTTCTCCTTGTCCTCAGTGGTCACATTCCCTGCTGCATCAAGTATGGGATAAAAATTGTCCTTGGTTCTTCTTTTGCCGTTGATACATTTATAAAAGGATTTCTTATTGTCTTTTACTGTAGTGGCCAATCTGTGTTCAAGTTGGGCTTTTGCCTTCTTAACAGGTTGCCCAGAGCTGTAGGGGAAGCCATGTCCTTGGAGACATTATATTATGTGCAATTGCACTAATGTTTAGTGGTTCTGTTGTAATGCTTCTGTGACTTGTGATTCTTTGCAGCGTAAAGGGAAGGCTTAACCATTCTAATCTCTTACATGATTCTAAAACCAATCTGCACTACTTTTTAGGTCTGTATACAAGGCAGTAGCAGAAGTAGATATTGCTTATGTGCTGTCATGTAAATTATTTTAAAATGGCAGTTGGCAAAATATCTGTTTCAGAGTTGCCATTATTATTTATTTTCTCCTGGAATGCAGTTGGGTTCTTATCTCTTATTGTTTATCATTAAAGAGTTAATTTGCGCTGGTGATTGTTAGTTGATACTCATACACAGTTGTATAACTCTTTCATAAAATTTGCATGTTTCAGTGTTCTTATTTTTTAGATATGCTAGTCATGAATTAACTGTATGTAGGTAAGCTAGTTAGGTTGTTGTTGAGACAAGTCATAACTAATCCCAACAGCTTCCTATTTTAAAAGTGAGCTTAAATAGAGTATGTCCTTTTTAGCAAGTGCTGTAGCTTGCATCTTGTTATATTGTTCATGTTTAGTTAGCGGAAGATAAAATTATAATGTAAAATGCTATTTTATAGCAGTATTTACAATTTAGGATAAAATCACAATTTTCTGAATTAAATACTTTAGCTTTAGTCAGTTGGAAGGAAGACCCTTGTGACGTTGGTCCATGCTCTGTTACAGCTGGTGTCTTGTCTCTTAATATTGGGTGCTTTAGAAAATGGTCATTCAGGAATCTCTGTAACTGTGTAACCAGACGCAGAAATACCTTTTTATTTGTTGCTATGGATTGCTTTGACCAAGAGCAGAAAGAGCTATAGGCTTCACTTTTATACTATTTGAAGACCTTCAGTGAACCCTAGAAGCATTTACTTTTTAAGATTTTTTTTTTAATTAATAATATTATTTTTAATCCCTTCAATTTTTAAGCTATGATATTACCTTATAGCACCGATTTCTGCAAGTTAATGATATACAGAAAAGCTACTTCTACATAAGGAGCTTTAGTATACTGCAATAATAATTAAAAGGGTTCACTTTTATGATAGCATATAAATGTGCTACTTAGGAAGAGTGTACACAGAATATGCCTCTGTTCCTGCTTCTGATTGAGGTATTCAGTAAAAGAAAATTTCATGCTACATCGATATGAGAATAATGTTAAAAAGAATAACTTTTTGGAAAATCCTTCATACTATAATTCATGATATTGCATTGTTTCTATGGTGCCTATAGGAAAGATGGGGAGGGAATCTTTTTCAGGGAGCGTAGCAATGCAACAAGGACTGATGGCTTTAAGCTAAAAGGAGGGTAGAATTGGATTAGATATTAGGAAGAAACTTTTTACTCAGAGGAATGTGTGCACTGGCACAGGCTGCCCAGAGAAGCTGTGGTGCCCCACTCCTGGAGGTGCTCAGTGCCAGCTTGGATGGGGCCCAGGGCAGCCTGAGCTGGTGGGGGGGTAGCCCTGCCCACAGCAAGGGGTTGAGACTGGATGATCTTTAAGGTCATTTCCAACCTGAGCGATTCTGTGATTCTGTTCAGATCCTTCTAAATTCTTAGTGTGTGTGTCTGACTGTGTCTGACTGTATTGTAAATTAAATTATGCTGTATTGTCATTTCAGCAAACCTGCAATCTTGAAAATGTAAAGCCTGAAACAAAGCGGTATCTAGATAAATCAGTTCAAGTGGGAAAAAGAAATGGACTCCATCTTCCTAAAGAAGTACAACAGGTAAATATGGTTCTTAGTTTATAAATCAAAGGGAAACTTGTTGAAGAGATTGTATTATTCTTGTGTACTAAGTGTCTGTGCCTATGGTCTTGCTTAATTACCGCTCTAATCTTAACCGCTCTTAGTTCTATGTCCATCTTTTAAACTCTAATTATCATTAGTTTTTAAAATTAATTTGTTGGATTCCTCACTCAGTACATAGAGGTGATATACATGACCTTTTTTTTTTTTTGTCCAAATTAGATTCATAACCAAAAGGCTTCTCAAAAACATTAATAGTGAGCCCAAGCTTCAGAAGCACGTATGTAGTAACTATTATGAAGTCACAGATATTTTAATTTCAAATATTAATCATCATTGTAAAATGAGTCCAAGATTTTAGTTCTAGGTAACTTCAAGGGAGCTTTGAGAATCTTGGACCCATTAGAGAAGAAATTAAGCAAGTGAAAGCAATTTTCAATTCTGAAAGTTATAGAAGTATAAACTTGTTAGTGTTTGAGAGGCTGATATAATTTTCTTTAAATTCTAAACTGATGTTGTGTAACCATCAAGATTTACATTTCTCTAATAGACGTTGTCTTTTCTGAAAATAATCATTCTTTATGCACATACTTAAGTTCGTGAAAATGTTGCTTCATGTGTATCTGCATTACCTAAATGGCCACCAATCCTTCCAATGGGATTTTTAAGTACTTTATAAGTAGATAATAGTTGAGCTATATTTAAGTAAAATTTCTACTAATTTTATTCTGTGCCAAATTTTGTGTTTGTTTGATATTTTCGTTACTTGTGATTACAGAGTTCATGTGAACTTGCCAGTAAGGGGCAGTCATGCTATAAAATACATTAGAACATATTTCAGATAGCTGTACATGAGGATTTTAAAGTGAATTTGGAATGCTCTTATCATGTGTGGGTATTCTTTTTTCTGCCTGTACTCTGGTTCAAAGAAAAGTATTTTTTAACAGGTTGCATCCATTTTTACTTGTTTGATACTCTGTGATTTGAGAGAACGTTTTTATACTTACAATTTCAAGTAAAATAAAACAATTGGATGTTATTATGTAATGCTCTCCGAGAACTTACTTGTTTGCACTCTCAATCCCAGTCTCAGTTGAAAACACATTTGAAATTGTTAGAGCACTAGACTCAGCCTTGGCAACTAGATTACTCAAGACAAAAGAAGGGTAAAAATGAGCTCAGGCAGGGGAGATGTGATACTTCCTGCAATATGTTACTCAGCCAATAGCAGTATTCAGTGTAGGCTAGCAGAGAACCTAACAGGAAAAAATTAAATACTGTTCATGTGAAAGATTGCCAGTTGATTTTTTTTCCCCCACTAATTTTAGTTTATACCCGATATAGGAAATAATGAAAATGAAGAAAAAATTAAGTGAGCTGTGTATAGACTTCAACAAAAACCTGAATGAAGAAAATATGTTTCTTGTATTTTCCAAAGAAGAACTTGGTGAGTACTATGCTTGCATTTTTCCTTTCCTTAGCCTTTCAGTAATGCAGGTAGTCTTTTATTGGCCCACTGAATGATGGTTAGATAAAATGAAATTCCAGCTGTATTCCATTCTTAATTCTTCCCCAAGGAAAGTTTAGAATTACAACTTGCAGATGTTTAAAATTTCTTTGTAGATCTGTGCTTACTGAAGTATACACCTTGCATAAAGTTAGCATATCTGCCCTACCTTTTTATTTCTGTAACATTACTCATCTTTGCTTTTTTTCTCAGTTCTCCAATATCAGGCAATCCAGCATGTGTTATGTTCTTTACAACTATCTGAACAACTTTTCTGTCATGCAAGATATTTAAGCCACTGAATTCATTTAAATTGATCTAGCAGTCAATCTAGATTGTATTAAACAATCATACAAGGCTTGGTGTGGAAAGGACTTTAAGGCTCATCCCATTCCAACTGCTGTGAGCAGGATTGCCACTCACCACATTAGGCTGCCCAGGGTCCTATCCATCTTGGCATTGAATGCCTCCAGGGATGGGGCATCCACACCTTCTATGGGCAACCTCTTCCAGTGTGTCATCACCCTCTGAGTAAAGAATTTCCTACTTGTACCTAACCTAAATGTATTTCACATAACAGAAGACTTAGAGATGCATTTCTGGAGAGCATAGCATAAAATATAAATTAAGATACTTTCTTACATCATGATTTGTTTTCATCTGGTATATTTACATTTTTTCTCTTTTGCTCACTACTAAAGCGTTTCAAAAATTTATTTTATTTGGCTTAGCAAGTATTAGGAAATAATAGCATTAATAATATTAGCAGACAGAAGAATTGTAATTCTGTTTAAACTCCTGATGTCAAATTAGGTAGCAGCAAAACAAATGCAATAATGTAACAAAAAAAAAAGAAAAAAAAGAAAAAAGAAGGGGTGAGTAGATTATTCTGGGAAATATTCTTTATTGAATTGTGTTCTGCAGAAGGCCTGCCTGATGACTTTATAAAGAGTTTAGAGAAGACTGAGGAAGACAAATATAAAATAACGTTAAAATATCCTCACTATTTTCCTGTTATGAAGAAGTGCTGCATTTCAGAAACAAGGAGAAAAATGGAATCTGCCTTTAACACCAGATGCAAAGAGGTACATTGTATATTGCCTTTTTTTACAAGGTAACAACAGGGTTGAAATATGGACATCAGATGTTAGATTTGAACTCTGTATGTTGTTTAGTACTGTGAAATTAAAACTTGTTAATATGATCTTCAGCATTTCCTTGCTTCACATGTGTGTATATGTATGCATCTTAGGATGTCAGTGGGTGCTGTTGATATAAGTGGCATTTTGAGAAAGTGATGACTTTCTCTACAGAGTTCTGTAGTTGCTTGCGCTGACTTCACAGATGGCAATGTCAGAACATGGCTTCTCTAGACCTTCAGGTTCTTCAGGATGGCAGTGATTATTTGAACATGTGTTCTAGTTATGAAATACAATTGAATGTGAAATTAATACATTGCATCTTGAGGAGGTCTTTAATTATATGTTAAAAAAACACTAATTTTTTAATAAAGATTCATTTAATTAAAAATATATCTGGAAATATAATTTGTTCAAAGAAGAGATGATTTCACAAACAATTTGTTTTATGCTGACATCTAAAAATAATTAAAAGGCTAGAAAAGATGGAAGTGTCTTTCAGCCGACAATTGTACCAACCATTCATTAGAGAACAATGTTAGATTTGTGCTTTTGTACTTGAAGTGCTGTGAAATGTGAAGACCACAAGATAAAATGACACCAACCGCTGTAAGTCAGAGCACTTAAAGGAGTATGCTGTTGTAACTAGGGGGGGCAACTTCAAACTTGATACATTATACATAGCTTGATTTATTCATTTATTTATTTATTTATCCTGAGAAATCTTGTTTTTCTAGAAATCAAGATAACATAGGGATCCTCTACAATATCTAGGTCAGGGCCTGGGGCTTTTGTGTTTCAGATCCCTTTCTCTGGCTGCTATTGTCAGAACATTGACAAACAAGCAAATAGGCTTTGAATGCTAGCACAGTAGCTTTGCAGTCTGTCTTAACCACTAACAAGCAATTAAGAATTTTGTTAGACATGTCCCTGTCATATTTTACATTTAAATGGTTGATTAATGAAATAATGTTTTTGCAAGAGTCAGGGATTTGTTATCCTTAAAACAACTGATATATCTTTTGATTAAGTGAAATAGATTAATTATAGTAGGGAATGTAATGGCTCAGATTGACTAGAAAGCTAGATGTCTCGCTACTTATGATCAAGTACTTTGAAAAATTTCAAAAATCTCGATAAGCTTATGGTCTTTTTTATATTTACGTCTTAAAGTGTCTTATTTTATATGTTTTCTATTTGTAATGATTACGGATGTTTATGTAATTGTTTGATAATGTAGATTTCCTGGTTTCACTTCACAGATTTGCCTGCTTTCTTTTTCAGGAGAACACCAAAATTCTTCAGCAGTTGCTTCCACTAAGGGCAAAAGTAGCAGAGCTGCTTGGTTATAATACTCACGCCAACTTTGTTTTGGAGGTAAACACTGCAAAGAGCACAGATAACGTAACAACCTTCTTAGGTTTGTTTTAATTTATAAATGATCTTTTTATATTTGCACTAGTAGTATGTCTCCTCAGTAAAGAAACATTGAAATACATGATTGGCAGTAGTATCTATCTATCTATCTAATGCCTCTGGGCCCCTGATTTTTATATCATAGCTGTACAAATTGCTCCATGATAGGGAGGTATAAGATAGAAATCTGTAAATAACTGCTTAATGACAGCCAATATAGAAAAGCTGTTATCATTCTCTGCTGCAAAATGCAGTTATCTTAATTTGGAACCAGAATAACATGTGCCACTGAAGTATATTCAGTTCAGAAGGCTGCAGCACAGTTTTCATTCCCTTTACATTAGCTGCAATTATTTATGTCCATGTAGCCTTAAGTGTTTCTTTCTATACATTGATAAAACAGCAATGAGTATAATAAAAAATCTGAGTATGTGATGATGTTAGTTCAGTGAACTGTATAAAATAAATAAAATTGGGAATGACTTGACTCCTCTGAAGACAAAAGCTCTCTAATGGAATTTGATCTGACAACTGAGATACTTTGACAGTGGTGCAGATTTCTGTAGCCATCCTGTTGATTCCAGGGCACTTTTACTCATTTTAGTGAAGAAGATTGTATATTTAGATATCACATAAAATCGAAACCCCCAAAACTACTCTGTACAGCAATAAGTTGTTCGGTGATGGTGTTTCGTTTTATTTATTTGCCTGAGTTTTAAGCACATTTGCAATATTTTGAACTCTTTTCTATCCAGTATATTTTCATAATTCTAAGTAGGATTACATTATACTGTAATGTATATGTGGATTTTTTAATTTGTTTTGAAGCTGACTTACTTCAAGATGTCCTGGTTATTGTGGTGGTGACATTAGCTCTTTTCAAGATCATATATATTTTTCTATTAAAAAATATTTTGTGGTAATTTTGGGGACAACTTTCATCAAATTGTCAGCTTTAATTTACTAATTTTGTTCAATCTTCATGATTGAAGCATGACACAAGCATGACAGTATAATTTGCTATGTTTTGTTCATATACCTTCATGTTTTAAATCAATGTTCATAAGTTGATCTTATGGCTAGGAGGAAAATCTACCATTTTGCCCTGTGACATACTCTGAATTTAGTGTATTTTGGGCTGCAAACTATTAGTATTTATCAGTCATGTACAAGTATATAGTGCCTTATAGTCACACAAAAAACAGGAGTGCCAATACTTAAATTTTGCACTCCGTATGCCGTGACAGACCATTAACCTCAAATCCTAAAGAAAAGTGTCTGGTAGTTCAGAAATATTCAGAATACAATAAACAGAGCATGTACATCAAGGGAGTTTTGATAAACTTAAATATTTTGTATTCAGTGTATTGGTTTCATAGTGCTATGACCCTTCCTTTTCCAAGAAAAGCTATATTGGAAAAAACTGAGATCAATAAATTTGATACAGTGGCTGTGGTAGAAGAGTAGATAGCTATCATATAGCCAAGAGCTTTTGGTTTATTGCTGTTCAATAGAACTATAGCTAGAAATAGATCCGAATCTGATTTTAAATGATCTCAATAAAAGTGTGGGAATCCTTTGTTGCACTTCCACTAACTAACAGTAGTAGTGTTTGGCTGCTTCTGTGGAAACGCATTGAAAAAACTGAGGTTAGCTGAGGTAAAATACAAAGCCTCAAGCACATGTGTCAGGTGCTACTTTGTGTGTCAAGTGTTATTTTCCATTTTTTATGTCTTTGAATAAGTCCAAATTTACCAGAACCTTTCACAGTACTGCTAAGCTCCTCTGGATTTGTACATTGTTTACAGCATGTATGTATTAAAACTCATTAAGACAAGAAACCAATTTGCTTCCTGTTCATCAATAGATAGAAATCTCAAGCATACGTTTTTGGGACAGGTACTTAAAGTTATTTTACATAAATGTGATTGTGTTTTATAAGAATATACATTATAGTAAGGAACAAGCTGATTTAAAGGCAATTTTTGTTTCAGATGATTTGAGTGAGAAGCTAAAGCCATTGGTTGAGAAGGAAAGGGAATTCATTCTAGATTTGAAGAAAAAGGAATGTCAAGAGAGAAACTGTGATTATGATGGAAGAATCAATGCATGGGATCTTCATTATTATATGAACAAAACAGAAGAGCTGAAGTACTCCATAGATCAAGAAAAGCTGAAGGAATACTTCCCAATTGAGGCTGTTACAGAAGGCTTATTGAATATTTACCAAAAGCTGCTTGGACTTGCATTTGAGAAAGTAGAAAGTGCTCATGTTTGGCATGACAGTGTTACTCTTTATACAGTAAAGGACAATTCAACAGGAGAAACATTAGGGCAGTTCTACTTGGACCTTTATCCTCGGTATGACTTAGTGCTTTACATATATGTTTAAAATGAACTTGGCTTAGTGGGTTGCTGGTGCAGGTGAAATTAAATACATTGGGAAGTAAATATTTGTCCCTCTGGTGAGACTATTGCTGTTGGGCTGCTTTCAGATAGCATACTTTGTCTTTTTTTTTTTTTTTTCTTCAGTACTGAGATATTTCCTGCTCGTGTTCACTTTTTGAAACATTAAAACTTTCTTCATTTTGTGTAGTATTGCTGACTGGTCAGTTACCCACCATTTCTCTTTTTTTCTTTCTAACCAAAACACCATGTTTTACTTTTCATTAATGTTTTAACTGCTCAGATCAGTCCTGTTCCTGTCTGTTCACTGTTTATCATTTCTCCCATTTCCTCTTTAAACTTTGTATACCTTATGTGTAGCTAGTTCTCTAAACTGCTAAAGAAGGTGTCAGATAGATCAGGACCCAAAAAAGATTGCTGTTGAGCACACCTTGAAATGTACTTCTAGGTTAATTTCTATTGCTCTTTAGCAATTTGCAGCAGGATCTGTGTGCTATCAAAGGTTAAGAGAGTCAACTAATTTGACAAAATTTGTTCTCAGCTATTCCTTTTTGGTCTTTTTCTTGCTGTTTTTAATTTCTTTTATAGTAATTGATATGTTCGTGCATTTTTTAAAGCATAAATTTATTTAAGACTTCTCTGAGTAAAGAAAAGCAGTGGATACAGTAGTATATATATTTTACTTTAAAAGTAGGCAGATTTTCTGCTTTATCTATTTGTCTGTTCTCTCCTTTCTGCGTCTAATGTGAATTTCCAAAGACCTTTGTTAGTAAGACATTTCTGCCTTTACTACCCCATTGTCTTGTGTCTAGGGCAAAAGTTTCAAAATCATTCTTCCTTAAACTTGGATCGCACTGCAAATGCTTTAAACTGTATTCTTTTGTCTCCCATAATGAAAGGAAAGTTACTGCTTCAGAGAATAGACCATAGTCCTCTTTGTTACAGTGTTTATGAGTAGTTCAAAATAGAATTCGCATCTGAAGTATATATAATTTGAGTAAAAATTAAATTCTTGTAAATGCTGCTGTGAGTCTTCAAATAGTGTTATGTAAGTGCTGTTATCCCCTCTTCTGTTCTTGAGCAGAATCTTAAGCCTAGTGACTCAAAGAAGTCATAATAAAACTTTTGTATGGTCATCCTAACGAACAGATAGAATTTCTTCATTTAAAGCTTTAAAGAGACATCAGCTCATTGAACTTGTTCTTGAATATTCTGGTGAGCAGGATTGTGATTTCAAGATAATTTCTGAAATATTTTCTTGTACAGAGAGGGAAAGTATGGGCATGCAGCATGCTTTGGTCTCCAGCCTGGCTGTCTTCTCTCTGATGGCAGTAGAATGATGTCTGTAGCTGCTCTGGTAACCAATTTCACAAAACCAGGATCAGATCGCCCATCACTGCTGCGACATGATGAAGTAAAGACATACTTCCATGAGTTTGGTCACGTAATGCATCAGATATGTGCACAGGTTAGTGATGTTTCAGTTTCAATTTTCTTATGTTTTTCGTAGCCTCCAAGCAATAGATAAGTTTATTTTGGCAATTTTATAATTTTAGCAAAGGATATGTACATTTTTATGGTTATATTTCAAGGTGACCAGTTGTATTGTCTGTTTTTGATCTCCACTTAAAACAACACAGCAGTGAATACGCTTTTCAAAAAATATTTTGAAAAGAACATCTACTTTTACATTTGCACCATGTGGGTATTAGTGACAATTAGATAGATCCACGTGTAAGGTAGAGAAGGTGCTCAGTTGTGACTTCTGTTACAGCTGTTTGATGTCCTTTTACTACTCTTTGTAGCATACTAGATTTCAGAAACAAACAAAAAGTCTACTATCCTCATTAGTGCAAATGATTTATGAATTCATATATTTATGTCCTTAACCTCCATTGTTTTTGTATTACACTTGAGAGCTATCATTCTTCCTAATAAAAACATAAAGCAAGTCTTGCCTGAGCTATTGTATTTTCTGCTCTCACATCTCATGGTAAGGTTTCTCACTGTCACCAGAAAAAAGTGAAACAATTTTGCAGATTTTGCACCAAAGTATCAATAAATTATAACATTTCCTGTTTCATTTTTCCTTTCTTCTGTCAGAATTAATCTTAAATACTGAATTTGTTGTTAGCCTAATGGAAACTTTGTATTTCAGAAAAAAAGGGAAGTTGCTGTGTTTATTCACTAAAAAAATCACATAATTATCCACAAAATCCAAACATTGTGTGGTGTTGCTGTGATCTATAAAACAGTACCAATTCATAAAATCAGAGCAATATAATGCACATTGGATTTTAATTATGTCCTCAACCACAGAGCCTAGGACTGCAGAAAAAGTGAATAGATACATACAAATCCACGTATTAAATCTAGAGTTAAACAAATGATGCTCAAGCACATTTAAGAGCAAGTAGCTAGGCATTCGCTTATATTTTTGCATCTTGAAAGTGATGATAATGTGATCATCTTCACCTGAAGACAGTTCAGAAAACAAAAAATAAATAAAGAGATTGAGAAATAAAACCTGTTCTTTTTTTCTCAATTACCTGAGAGGTGTTTATGAATTAGATACATTCAGCATTACTGCAAAATCCTGGAAGCTGATGAAGATGTTCCTGGCTGTTGCAGAGTCCTGTCTGGGCAATCCCAATGTACATCTCCACTTGCTGAGAACTGCACATAAGTCAGGGAGCTTTCTTTCCAATTGTCTCTCACTGCTGTGCTGTTCTCTGCATGCATTGCTACTGTGCTCACTGCTGTTGTATTTTATGTGAATAATTTAATGGATTAGTATATACACCAGCAAATAACTTCTATGTCACACATAGGAACATCCTGTGCTCTGAGATTTTTCACATGCAAAGCAGTGTCTTTTTCATTTGCTGATTTCTTTTTTGAGCATGTTAAAACTTGATGTTTAAAGAATATAGGAGGATCTAGCTGAGTGGGAATCTGTGAGCAGCAGGTAAAGATCAGTGTTTGGAGGGCAGTAATGTGCTGGGAGTCTGCTGGCATGTGAAATATCAGGGTAGAGACAGGATCTTTTTATGATATTAGGGAAGGACAGCTAATCAAGTACCTGAACCAATTTTTTTTTTTTCTTTTTTTATTAGCATGGTACAGTTATGTTTGAGTAAAAGAGACTATCTGATGCCAATAAAGTCCTGTACTCCTCCTTGCCTTTTACTCTAGCTGCTTCTATCACTAGTCTATTCCATCTGATGGTTCTTCACTTACCTTTGTATCTACTGTTAAGCAACTGTAGGACAAAGATCTAGCCTGTTACAAGCTTAGATTTGAGTTATCAACAGGTGTAAATGAAAGCAAATATTCTTATTTTCTCCTGTTTTTCTGATATGCATGTGACATAGCCATCAGTTCAATGTATGCTCTATTATTACACATGATTTTTTTTTGGTAGCCCTGCAAGAAAGCAAGTTCCAAAGCCACTGCTCTTTTGGGAATCATTTCCTAATGAAATATGTATGCCCTATTTCCCGATTTGGGAAGTTGGGAGATTTTGTTTGCTTGGTTTTTTTTTTCCTTTTAGGATCTGAAGTGTTAGACTGCAATACAATAAGCAATTTTACAAGTGTATTATTGGAATTTATTTTTTTACTTTAGGGTAATATAACATAATTTTATAACAATTATCAAATCTTCCAATTGTCATAAGACAGCATGGAAATATTTGTGATGTGGTGTTAACCTGAGAAGTGAAAAGAATAGTAATAAAAAAATTGAAGTAGAGAATCACTGTCAGAGAATGGAGTAAGTAACTACTGCATAATCTATTTTGTTGCTTTTTAGTTGTCTAATATATGTATTTATGTCCTTCTTTCTTTGAAGTTCAAAATCTTATTTTAATTGAAACACTGAAATTTCAATATCTGAAAATTTGTGTTCTTCCAGAAATCTTGGTTTCCATTTTGATTTAATACAATGGCTTTTCTTTTTAGACTGATTTTGCCAGGTTTAGTGGTACTAATGTGGAAACAGACTTCGTAGAGGTACCTTCACAAATGTTTGAGAACTGGGTGTGGGAAAAAGAACCGCTACAGCAAATGTCAAGACATTACAAAGATGAGAGCCATGTTGCAGATGCTCTCCTTGAGAAACTAGCTGCCTCTAGACTGGCAAATACAGGTATCTGTCCCTCTCACACAGTATGTGTATAAAAAATGAATTTTGTTTAGAAATTTGGTTGGAAACTTCAGCCAAAGTACCATCTGTAGAACATAACATGCCCATTACTTTTCTTCTTTATGTACACTATCTCTGTCAGTGTTGTCAAGAATTAAGTGAGCTCTTTAAACCAAAAAGTTAAGCTAGTTGTCTTAATAATTCCTGAGTTTATTTGCTTGGTTATAACCATTAATAAACGCTGTTCTGACGTATACCACTGCATGTAGGAACAGCAGCAGCTCTGGTTTTCCAGGCTTATCCAAAGGACTAATATACCTCTACAATTTTCCCTATGTTAATTTTATTTTATTTTATTTTATTTTATTTTATTTTATTTTATTTTATTTTATTTTATTTTATTTTATTTTTTTACCCCAGCAACTCCATTTATTCAATGTTGGGTGAGGGAGAGCATTGGTTTTCCAATTTTTTCTAGTAGCCCCAGACAGACACTGTGCATTATTCGTATAGAAGTATCAGATTTTCTGCACATGTATTATACATTTCATTTGCACATGTTGTTTGACATAAATGAAAGTTGCTTGCAAGTTTACTAAATGTGCTTACGTACATGATACAAGAAGTGTTGCAGCCTTTCACTGCTCAAACAGCCTCTTAACTTCTGAATCCAGAATCATAACTCTGTGTTCTCCACTTCAGTAGGTACACTGCATTCCCAAACCAAGGTCCCAGTTCTGCTGTCTTTCCACAAGTTGTCTCCATCTTGTCTTTATCTCAAGATTAGTGAGACTAATTTAATGTTATTACCCCTCATCTCATTATTATTATGTCTCTCTTTCCACTCTGTCCCTGTAATCAGAGCTCCCCACACAGCATCATTTATCGTGCAATTTATGTCATTAAAGTACTGCTGTTCATCTCATACTTCTTCCCTATCCTGAACAAGAAGTGCCTGTCCTTTCAGCTGATACAGGCACTGTAACTACGTAAGCATTTTATGCAGAGTAGAGATTCATATCTTGTAGTTTCTTCAAAATATCAGAGCCTACAGCAGCAGCAGTTCTTGCTATTCTTTGTGGTGTGAGGCAGTGTCATTACATACACTTACCATCATCTCTGCAAGCCCTGTATTAAATGGTAACTAGAATTGATGACTGCTGAGAACGCAATTTTAAATATTGGTATTTGCTTTTGAAATACCTGCTTTTATTAGTCTTTGATCTGTGAGGAAAGTAACACTTGAAAATATGGGCCTTATAATGGCGATTCAAAAATATTCCTATGCTTTTTTTCTTTTTTTTAGCTGAAGTGTTTGGATGGACATAACTCAAAGTTTTTTCTGTAGTTTAAATTCTAAAAATTTAGAATGTTTGTTGAGATCTTTCAATGAAAGGTGCTAAAGAAACTCCAGCTCATTTGGTATTAGTAAATTGAATGTTCTTATTCCATCAGGGTTTTTAACCCTCCGCCAGATTGTTTTGAGCAAGGTTGACCAGGCACTCCATACAAAGCCATCTGTTGACCCAGGAGATGAATATGCCAAATACTGTATGGAGATCCTAGGAATTCCTGCAACCCCAGGTATATCAGTACAGTATGCCCAAATACTTTATTTAAATATGCCTCCCTATCCCAATAATGTTTGGCTTACAAAAAAAATCAAAGTTGTTGTTTGTAAAATAATCTAATTTATGAAGCTGAAATAATTATTTTGAAAATTGGAATAATCTCAGAGATATCTTCTGAAGGTAGATGAAAGTATCAAAAGCTGTACTTTTGCAAGTTATATTTTGGAGCTAGATGATGTGAATATTACATTAATATGCGTCAGACATGCAAGTAGACCAAAATGGAATTTTCCTTTTTTTAGTCACCAAAATATGTCTGATGCTTTTAGAGATGTACTCACACCTGTTATGTTAGTAATTTTGAATTATCTCATACAAATTCTTTATTTATTTCTTCAAATTTTGTATTTTTCATACATAAAAGAAATGACTGCATTTGATTTAAATTAATTAGTGTGAACCTACTTTTTAAGGAACGAACATGCCAGCTACCTTTGGGCATCTGGCAGGTGGTTACGACGGACAGTACTATGGATACCTCTGGAGCGAAGTTTTTTCCATGGACATCTTTTATAGCTGCTTTAAGAAAGAAGGCATAATGAATCCGAAGGTAGGTAACAAATACTTTCTTTCGAAGATTCCTGTTGTGATTTATGTCTGAAGCCACATTTATTGCAATTAGAAATTGCAATCGAAATTGTGTAGAAATAACATCTCAAGTACATTTCTTGTCAAGTTCAACTGAACTGAAAAAAAGCAGTGTGTAAATAATTTCTTTTGAAAATTATATTGAAATTTTGAGGACGGCATGGATTTTATTATAACTATTATTTAAAGTCATATATTTTGCATTGCTTTGTGACTTTTAAGACATTAACATATATATCTTAATACTTTCCTCTTTAATTTTAAACAGAAAAAAGCATACTTCTCCATTGGAAGAGTAGATAAGTATTCTTCCACTGTGGAATATAAATAGTGCCTCAAACGTGTGGCATTTTTTATTTAAGTGTTACTTAGCAAATACAGTTTATTTTGTTCTTTCACAGCACACTGCAACTTAATTTTTTTTCTTCCTTACTTTTTCTCCCGTGTGAGTTTTGAAGTTCAAGTCACTGATGGATTTTAGATTTACTGGGCTTTTTTTCTCTTTTGTAATTCTTCAGCCTCTTGCCTCCAGCATGTAAGAGGGAGGGACAGTCAGTATTGTAATCAGTAGTCCTACCAATTTGGACAATTTTTAAATTTCTCAACAATTATAGCATTGGAATTCTATGTGGAGATGCTACAGCTCTGTCATGGGAACAATCTTTTGATTTTCCTGCCTGTTCCCTCTTCACACAGCACATGCTTCTCAGGGTGATCAGTCTTTTTTGCTGTTACCGTTAGTCCTGGCCTTCAGAATTGTTTTGAGTGATTGTGCAGGCAAAACCCTGAGCCATAGTTTATCAGAACGGCTCTGTGACCTTTACTACACCCTAGGGATGAAAGTGCAGTTTATTCCAATTTTTTTGTGTAGGTGTTTGTTTTCTTTCTCAGTCTCTGAATGGGGACTTTGAGAAGAGTTCAGTTACAGAAGGTCTAAGTGGATATTTGCAGCTCAGAAGCAACTAGTGCTTTTTTTAAGGGAAGGTTCCTGTTCCAGCTAGGAAAATAGAAATAAAAATGGTTATTTGTGTATGTGTATTCACATGCATGGGCATGTGTGTGCCTGGCTCACTCTCTCATGTGTGCAAACATACTATGTTTGGATGTTCACATAACCTCGGGGGGAACTTACGCTGGAGATTTGCTCTCCCTTTCATGGCAGTACTATCCTCTTAAGTTGGTTCTCTTTTAATTTGTTTTTTTTTGTACTTGCATTCTATTCAGTGTACCAGTGTTCTGCAGGGTGGGAAAATTATCTTTTTTAAGAAGATGCTAGATACTAGTGAGATTTCTGTAGATACTCATAGTTGTTATGTCTAGATTTAGACTGCTTTTCACAACAGCAGGAAAGGAAGTCAGTTACAGTGTTACGACAAGGGCTTTAGAAATTTGGCTTACCTCTTCCTGTTAGAATAAGACTTCTCTTCCTGTTTTGAGCAAGTTATTGAAACTGGTTTAAGCATCTCTATCTGTAACAATTATTCTGCAAATACTAACATTGTTAATTGCCAAACTCCTAAGTCTACGCACATTATCTGAAATTATTTCTGGTCTCTCTAGAACTGAGTAATCTGCTGGCCGGAAACACAGCAGCAAAAAGGCACATTTATACAAATAACACTTTGAAATCACGAGGAACAATACATTTTTTTTTCTATTAACATTCAGGAAACTAACACAAATAGCAAAATACAAGCAGTCCTTCTTCAGTGATAGATTGTCTTATTCGCTTAGCTTTTTCCATCTGCTTTTTCAATGCCATTAAGTCATGGGAAATCCATCAGGTAAAAATACCTCAGCTTGATTTTGCACTAGTGATCAGGAAGCAGTGTAGTTCTGTCTCATAGGTTTGACGTGTGAGGGAAAGATAATATGTACATGTACAGTGATTGAAGGGAAGAGTATTTTTTAATTTAATACTAAAAGCATCTAGGACTTCTACATGAAAAAATATTTTCTCATTCATACGTATGTCTCCGAGGCCCCAAATTCTCCAGATACATTCTTATAAATATGTTTTCTTTTTAAGAATGTCTTCCTTTAATATTGTCTAAGAAGCTCATTTCCTTTTTCCTAACATTAATTTCCTGCATTAATATTATTCTTGCTGAAAATATAAACTGGGTTAAGGTTCCATTTCTCTAACATACTTTAATTGGGAAATCATGTATATCCATGTATATATTAAATAGTTATGCATATAAAACATGTGTATGAGCCATGTTATTCCTCACTGGTATTTCTGTTTATCTCTGTACTGTCATTCCTCAAATACATATGGAAGAAAGAGAAATCATCAGTTAAGGGAGAATGAATGTTGAGGTTCTGTTTGCCTGCCTATTGATCATGTTATGGCTTATAGAATGACCTCCATAAGTTCAGCAAGTTTGTGTGATTGTAAATCCCAAAATAATGCAAAACCACAGGAAAAATCATTTTTGAGGTGATAGGTTAAATTTCTCCTGTCTTGAACTCTTCCAGCACATTTAAGTTGTATGTGTGGCATATTTTGTTTTGGTATTAAGAAAATCCAGAAAGAGAGGAGATGTATTTAAAAACCTACACAATTAGACATGACAGATATGTAAAAGTGGCAGCTTCCAAGGTAAGAAATACTAATGTTCTACTTTACCTTTTATCAGGCAGGGATGAAATACAGAAATCTTATTTTGAAACCTGGAGGATCTTTGGATGGGATGGATATGCTTCAAAATTTCTTGGAGCGTAAACCAAGCCAGAGAGCTTTCCTACTGAGTAAGGGACTGTGTGTTCAGTAAAACTATGCTTCCTTTGTAGTGACATAAATGTATGGAATGAGCTGGAAATGTCAGTGTGTTTCATATTTTATCTGTGTATCATTTTAGACAAATTGGGTTACTTTTTCATGATTTTTTAGAAATAAAAATGTAATTTTTAAATTGCACAGGACTACAGAATGCAAACATTAGGGGAAAAAAATCTGAGATGTGCAGAAGTTGAGAAATTTGTGTGGTAACTTCTTTTTTGAATTGTTATAGTACTAATCACTATGGGGATATTATGCCTTGTTTCTCTTTTAATAGATGCACTTAAACTGTATTGTGAATGAATTTTAAAACTGGGGATAAAAAGGGACATTACCAGCAATAAAAGAAACATTCATTTATATTCTGATTTTTCTATTGTATCAATGGCTCACAAATGTTTTTGGTGGAGTGGAAGTGTTTGATTTAATCATGTTTTCATCATCTAGCTTTCTGACAAATTCCAAGAAAGAGAACATGGACAAGACAGCTATACAGCATAGATACCTATATGATGCCTGTATATTTCATTTTGATGCATGCTAAATTCTTGTATTATTTATAACTTATATAGCATAAGTTAAAAAAAAAAAAAAAAAAAAAGTCCATCATTTGAGCTACTCTTCTTCCCTTCATAGAGGGACAACAAATCAAAATTTGACATCTGTCATTTCCCCATCTTTTTCACATCTCCTTTTTTTGTTGTTGTTAATCAAAACTCAGGCCTCTCTTTTCCAAACTATATTAACAGTGGCACTAAAAGTAATTAAAATGGTTTTGGTTGGGTTGTGAAAAAAGATACATAAGGAAAGTAAGGAAGATGTGTCCCCATTGAGAATACAGTGTTTTCCTATTGGTCCTCTTCAGTGTACTGAAATGCAGAAGTAATACTAAACAGCTTCATAGATTTGATGATTTCAGATGAGGGCATAGGAAAGTAATTAAAAATTATTCGCCCATTTTTTTTCTGCAAGATGGGAAAAATGAATCTTAGAAGCCAAATTGCTAGTCCAAATGCACTTGTCACAAAGTAAGTTATACTTACTTTGATTCTGGTTCTGTATATGTTTTTATTTTGGTTACTAGCTAATATATTTTAAACATTTGAATCTTATCTGTAACTATATTTGGTATTTTATTTGCTCGGTTGGAAGGTAAGAAACTGTGCCTGGTGAATGCAAATGTTTTCTTCTTTTTCTAGTAAAAAAAAAAAAATGAAAGCATTCACTTTGAGAAAAGAATGGGAGGAAACACAAATGTTTATAGCAAAAACATACTGACTACATACCCCAGTATGTAGAGTCATAAAATGGCTAAGGGAGGAAGAGGTCATAAAGATCATCAGGTTCTAACTCCCCTGCCCCCCACCAGCTCAGGCTGCCCAGAGCCCCATCCAACCTGGCCTTGGACACCTCCAGGGATAAGGCATTCTCAACTTCCCTGGGCAGCCTGTGTCAGCACCTCACCTCCCTCTGAGTAAAGAATTTCCCTCTAACATCTAACCTAAATCTCTCCGCTTTTAGTTTAAAGCCATTCACCCTTTTCCTATCACCATCAGACTATATGAAAAATTAAGTCTGTACCAACTAGGTCCGAGTTCTACAAGGTCATCTGCAAGTGATACATGAAAATCACAAATATTAGAACCTCTTCAACAGTATTCAGTAGAACATTTATAAAGGAAAGCTAAGAAAGCTGATGGATTCAATATTATCTTTTAAACATACAATTTTTGATTAATTTCCATTACATTCTGATGGTATTTGTGAGTATTTTGCTTTCATTTTGAATAAGCTTTTTAAAATTCTTGTGATCCTATCTTATGAGAGGTTCCAATGAACTGAAATGTTCTAAAAAGATGTTTAGTGGTACTTTCCAAAATTTAGCAACAGGAATTCTATTAAGTCATGAAATGTAGTGTTTCTTTTGCAGCTTCCAGGCAGATTTCCACATGAGGGAGACTTTTCTCTGCAAAAGCCAGCAGACTCATTCCAGGATAAATGCAAATGCAGTAGTTATAAGCAAAAATATGTGATGATAACATTTAAAAGTTAAATTTGGGATGGTACTGATGTTGATGATGATAATTTGACTTGTTTATTTTTCTGTTCTTCAGAGTATGTGTGTAACAAAGTATACAGTAACTATACTATAGCAAAATTATTTATTAACTAAGATACTGTAGTGCAATAAAATGTCTGCTCTTACATGTATAGAAAATGCCTACAGGATTGTACAGATATCAGTTGGATATCCAGGTGAGTAGGAAGAAGAAAATCTAAAACCAATTCATGTCCCACAAAGGTAAGTACTATGATCTGTATCTGTCCCAGGGAATAGTTTTCTGCAATTTTGTTTTGTAGAAGCCATCTCAAAAGGTCTCCATCACATTGCAATTAAGACCATCTTATGGTCCAAAGTTGCTCTCAAGAAAGGAACATGTAATGTTCTAAAATGGCTTGGAATCATCTTAAAGTGTTAATGTATCTAAGTAAGCTGCCATTTTTTGTGTTGCCCCTTGAAAACATTTTGAATTAAATTGAAGCTGTAAAGAATTGATCTTGAAATGGAAAAGATAACCTGAATAAAGACCACTTTTGTGGTTTTGCATCTCTCCATTGTAGGCATGAAACCTTTACTGGATACGAAACAGTTTATTCTGACACTATTCCAAGCATGTGACATAAAATCTCCAAGGAAAGCACGTAATATGATCACAATCTTCTGTTTTAGAAACACAAGTTAATTGCCTTAGTACTGCACAGAAACAATCACCAAACATGCCAGGATATCAGTATCTGGCAAAAAACAACCTGTGTCATAGTTGCTAGACCCATGCTTCCACTGATTTGAATTTCAAAACATTAAAAGCCTATTTAATTCCAACCCAACTTCAGATATTCACTGTAAAATAATAATAAAGTAACTTGTAAAGTAATCTTAGTCTAAAAAGCAGCTGCATTTTCAAGTTAATAATACATCTTTTTAGAACTCTGTATTTAGAATTTCTTTTTCTTCCTAATCAATTGAAATAGTACTTTGGCCTGGCTACAAAAGCTTTAAAAGAACAGAAGGGATAAGATGGGAGATGTGGGAGAGAATTGATTTAAGCACTCAGTGAATGGTTACAGTAATGGCTTTCCCATTCTGCAGCTTTATTGCAAAAGACAGAATGAGTTGGCCATGCAAATAGGTCACAAGATTGGTGGCTGAGATGGTAGCCTCAGCCATCCCTGCTGCTGGTCATCTGATACAAATCCAGCATGCAGACTGTCTGAATTGCTTGCAGGCCATATGAAAAAGATTTGGAGAAAAGGTTTAAATGGTTTAAATTTTGCTCTGTGAGCTATGGTGGCTATTGCTTATTTTGCATGAAGATGTAGAGTCCATGTTTGTGGAGACCAACTGGAGTCTGTACTTCTCTAGTTTTCCCATCCAGAGAGCTCTGTGCTGTGTGTTATTAATATAAAAGCATCCTCTTTATAATCAGTAATTGGGGTCAGTCAACTGCTGATATTTTTTGACAAATTATTTTGTTAAGCCCTATTTTAAGAGATGGTAAGGGAGCAGGGACTGTAGAATTTGGTATGGAAGAAGTAAAACTACTGCAGCAAGAAATAAATCACAAAATCAAGGTCTTTGTTTTCCCTCTGAAAAATAAAATGATTTCCGACTACCTTTGGCAGTAGTGGTAGGAATGGTAGTTAGATGGAAACTCTTAAAAGAGGTTTTCTAGAAGTGTAAAGCTGTTTGTATAAGGAGTGATAAAGACAGAGTTAGCAGCTAAAGTTTTACTGAATTGGAGTTGCATGTCTGGGGATATTTAGGACTGAATCAAGTACTGAGAGAGATTAGAAAGACTAGACATCAAGAAATGGTGTGGTAGCACATCAAAGGAAAAGGAAGAAAAATACTAGGTTGAAGAATTAAGTTTAAACAGGGTGTTTGGGCAATAGTTGTAGAATAGTTGGAGTGAATGCTGGGAAGACATGAAAAAGGCAGTAGCTTAATGCATAATGATTTATAAAAAGCTAACAATTTTTAAAAATGATTTAGAAAGAAAACGTTAATATTTGTCTCTGAATAAATTTATTACATTTTTATTTGCATGCCAAAGAACATCTGGCTTTGCATCAGCCTGTTGCTTAAATGCTCATGTTTCTTCTTAATATCAGGAGCTGGTTTTTTGTTTCACCAGTATTTTGTTCATGAATATAATATAAGTGATAGTTTCCCCTGGAGAAAGGAAAAAGTGTGATGCTGTACAGAGGAAGTTCCAGTTGCAGGCCTATGCTGGAAGTCTTGTATAACTAATCATGATATAAAAATATATCTAAGACCTAGCTAGGATAGATAAAGATGAATTAATTAAATAAATTGTGAGTTAGTGGTTGCCTAGAAACCAATAATGTGACCTAATTTTGTTCAGTATTGATTAACAAAGGATAGACTCAACCAATACTTGCTTGAGTTATATCCTGATGGATTAAAAGGGCTAAATATATCACTGTTAAATGGGCTAGTGAAAAAAATCAAATGGAATTAAAATTGTGAATGAGAGTTAGTTATCTTTAAAATATAATTGGCCAAAAATATTCACAACTTAAAAAGAGAACAGTTCTGACTAAGAACCAATCTGCTCACCAGCAAAACCAGTAATGAAAAATGTAAAAAAAACAGAAGTTTGGTCAGGAATAGGATACAGCTGTAAAGTGAGAAATTTTTAAGTGTTAAAATGTTAAAGAAAACAGACTATCAAGAAAAAATAACTGTAAAAGTGTGCAGCCAATAAGATGTAACATATGTTAAGAACTAATAAATCCTGTTTGTATTATTGACCTTTAATAGATGGAAATGCTAATTTTGCTAATGGCACAAAAATATGATTTTTAATCACTGTCTTCTACATTTAGAAAGAAGCAACATCGTGTAATCATATCAAATAAGAACAGTTGGGTATTTTCCAGTCCGTTATTAAGTAAGGAATATATTAAGCAACATCTACTAAGAACAAACATCTTTTAATGAGTAGGATTGAGAAACTTGCACTCTACAGACTACAAGAATTGATGGGGACAGATTTTTCACAGTGCTGCTTATCTTGGAATACCACACATATGGTATCGTACTAGAACAGTGTTAATTAGTTACAGTGTTCAAAAAGAGCAAATAAGTGACTATTGGTCACATGGCTTGAAATCTGTCTTCAGCAAAACAATCAGAATCCCTGTAGTTTTGAATCTGAAGAATTAAACCATTAATTAGTGTAATTAGTAAGTGGTGTTACAAAAACAAGTCACGCTCTTTACAAGGCTGATTAAAGTGATTGTAGGGAAGTTTTACATAAGGGTTATTTGACTTAGTGCTGTATGGGAATAAGGCATTCTGGTGTCAAAATGCACAGTGGTTTAAAAACTACTTATCTGTTTTCAGAGTGTAGTTGTTGGAACAGAATTACCATTGACCACTGTCAAAAATGTTCTACAGTGGTCACAGTTCATCATGGTTCAGCCATGATCAATATTCAGTGCTTGAAGATCTGAAAGCAATATGAAAACACTGATGA